GAAGTGTTCAGAGGCTGCAGCAGCAGGTAGTTCTCCAGGGACACAGCTGGGTGCCTTGCAGGTGGCTTTACAGCAGCCTTGTGCACGATACATAATAGCTGAGCCTTTTCTGCTCGTGCTGAGTAGTGTATTAGTTGTGGGGTAGAATTCCCCAAGGGCTTGAATTACTTTACTGGTCCCAAGGAATTGTCTGTTCTGATGGGCTTTTTTGGAATCAAAACGTGTTCTTGACAGATCATTTAATAACTTGATACAGTTAAAATTTACTATGTTTTTCCTTCTGGGAAGTGTGTGTTCTTCACAAATAGGAAAAAAGAATTCACACTCTTTGATTGCTTTCCTTTATTATCAGGAGGTGTATGTGTTTTATACACCCCATAGTGGTATTATAAAAACACTGTATTTACAGTACAAGGTGTATGTAATAGCCTAGGGGAACAGAAAGTTTTCCTACCTGGATCTTAGAAATCACCTTTCCAGCGCCAGTAGTGTGCTAGAGCTTTGCCTCTTGCTGCGAATTACACCTCATTAGTGGTTTGGGATTTCTTTTTGCTTTTTATCTCTTAAGTGCATAAATGCAAAGGGAAAACTGAGGCATGTAGTAGGAGTATGATCCTTCTCCCATTTTTCTCATAAGGAAAACCTTTTAAAACATAGGAACACCTAGGCCATCTGAAAGGATCCTAACTATTAAAGAATCAGAATGCTCTCGGTGTATGTCCTGGAGCGATGATGCTAGATAGGCTACTATGTTCATCCTTAACTTGTAACAGGATGGGCATTTAAGACACCTTTTATCTTTGATGTCTAATGATGATAGTGATGCATGTTTTGGATGCATTTATTTAGCTTTGTGCTTTGGAGTTGTGTATTTTTCATATTCACTATTATTTACATGGCTTTTGGGCTCTCTTAACATCTCATTAATTTTCCATCTGCTGTAGAACTCATTTTTCCCATGAGGTATATAATGTTATCTTACAAAAGTTTTACATTTTCCAAATCCCAGTCATTCAGACTTCCCATATGGGTTTTTTTGTTACTTAACCAAAACTGGGTTTAACTCTTGTCTTGATCTTTAATTGTTTCTAGTCTTGATGATCCTAATCCAGTTTGAGACTAAGGTTAGTATTCAGAAAATGGTTGATGAATACAGTCATTTTGGTTACTTAATGCAAGAGGATAATTTTGGTGAAAGGTGTCTGCAACCTTTTTAAAACAACTCAATTAGGCTCATGTGCTTTTATAATACAGAAGAGCTGTTTTGAATCCTGTGTTTGTTTTGACCACAGTAGATTGTTCTTTCCGTATAATCCAGGAGTGGTTCTTACTTCATGTATTTACACATAAAAATCAGATCATTAATCACGGAATTAACTGTAACTGCCTGTGAAGTTTTTCTTACAGTGAGGTCCCTCTTCAGGGTAAGGTATGAAAATATGGAAAGGATGCTTAAAAGACAAACAACATCTTTCATTTTCCTCCTGCACTGTTATTGGTATACTCAGGGTGGGTGGATTGCTTGTTAATGAAAGCAGCTTTGGGTAGTTCAGTGACCTGGGTTTGGCACTGTTGAAGGCAGTGATATTTTGCCTTTATTGGAAGCATTGTTGAAAGTCTTATTTGAGATTTCAAAAGTAATTAAATTTAATACTGTTATGGGCTGGATATTTTACTATCATTTGGCTGGCTCCTTCAATTTCTTGCACTTTTATGTCTTAAGTGGTGGTGGTTGTTTGAATCTGTGAATGCATGCCTGATAGTTGGGTTTTGTTTATTCAGTAAGTAAATGTTTTCCTTATTGAAGTGAAGCCCTTGCCAAAGGTCATCTGTTAGCTACAGTTACAGATCTTAGTGGGTAGTAAAATCTCAGTCCCATGAGAAATTCTTCCACCTTTTTCTCCTAGTATTATATTCAGTCAGTTTACACTGCTCAGAAAAATACAACAGTCTCTTCAGTAACTTACTAAAAACATGGTGTGTTTTCACTGTGTAGTCACCAATTTTATGTGCAAGGAAACAGCTATTACAGAACTATGTAAGAAACTATTTCTCCCATTATTCATTGTAGGAAGTTAGTTGGCATGGAAAAAGTACTCATTATAATATATCCTGAGGAAGGCTGGCTGTGTTTGAGTTGTCCCTTATGCATGGAAATTTTATGTAGTGTGCTTTCATATAGGACTTCAAGAAGGTAATTTAAAATGAAGATTCTGTAGTTTTGGTGCTAAGAATTGACCTTTCATGTTGCATGGAATAGTTAATTAATCCAGTGGTCTAACCTTGTGTACAGAGACTGTGTCTGAAATAGAAGTACATATTTAAGACACCATTTTGATGTGTATCATCTGCAGATGACAGTAAAGAAATGGAGATGGAAGATAAAGGTAGGGATTATTTTACTCCTCACCTTTGTAGCTTCTCTGTGGCATGAGAGAGACCTAGAAATCCATCTTGTAATACCCATGTTAAAAAAAGTAAGCAAGCATATGGACTGCTTTTGCCTTCAGTTTATGATAAGCTGTCATCAGAGTTGAATTAAAGCATATGGATAAAGATCCAGAAGTACATCATACTACAACATGCTACTGCTCTAATTTTGCCAGATGCATGCAGTACTTGGGAACAACTGTATTAAAGCCTCCAGACTCACCAGCTCTTCTCCCATGGAAATTTCAGAATCAAACACCACTTTGCCAGTACAGCTTGTTCTTAATTCCTCATCTTGTATGCAGGCTCCTTCCCCCAGGTCCAACAGTATATGGAACACTCAGATCCACAGATGAATTAGAAATTTAAAAGTGTCTGGCTTGCTGGTGCTGTGGTCTAACTAGCTGAATACCTCAGTGGCAGCTAGTTGGTCAGATATTAATGTCTTCCTGATGGAAAATATCAGAATGCATAAGAACTGAATACTAATCTGTGTGGGTATGTATGTGGTCTGTGTCTTCTGGTGAGGCTGTTGATTTAAAGAACTCACATCTGTCTGAATGTTAAAATGTTGATTTTTATTATACTGTTAAAATTATTATACTGCAGGAAAAATCTGTTTGTCATGAATTTTAGATGTATATCTGACACTTTTTGAGCGATAACACTTAGTCCCCTCTGTTTTGTTTAGGTTGAATTTGGGTACAGGCAGATAGGATCCTCAGAAAAAGTTTATACTGCTTGTGCTTTTTTCTTTAGTTTTCAAGAGAACATTTAAATGGAATGTTACTTAAATGACCTTGGGAGTCTGGCTTTCCACACAGATTAGTAAATGGCAGTTGGTCATTAGAGGACAGTTGGTCATTTTTTTCCTTTTTTTCTTTTTCCCTTCATGGAAATAGAAAATTGTAAAAGAAAGGGGCTTAGGAAAAGTGCCCCCCCCCCTTTTAAACCTTTACTTTTAAACCTTTTAAAAAAAACCTTTAAAATCACCAGCTTTTGTATGAAAACACTAATATTTGCTTGACATTATCTTTTCTGTATTACCTCAAAAGGTAAGATTTTTAGCTCTTTGCTGGGTACCTTCCTTTCATTTTGACCATTAAGCAAGTTCTGTGTAACGTCTGTTGTTCATTGCTGTTAGTTATAATGGTTTTTATTGGGGTAGATTCCTTAATGTATTACTAACTAAAAAGAGGAGACAAAAGCATAACTACGTAATGTAATTAATTCTTCCAATGACTTGTTGCTCAGTTGTATTTTTCCAGTGAAAATCTTGGACAGTCCCTTCACTTTCAAAGTTATTTTCGTTTTCAACAGAGAACTTATCCTATCCTATGCAATCTGGTTTTGAACAGTGCTTTCTGATCCCCAAGAGGTTTCTCCTGGATGAATCTCAGAATCACAGAATCATCTAGGTTGGAAAAGACCTTGAAGATCATCCAGTCCAACCATTAACCTAACACTGGCAGTTCCCAACTACACCAGATCCCTAAGTGCTAAGGATGATGTGAGGTGATGTTGCTCTTCCAGACTGTGTAGCCTTACAGTTACTCTTAGCATCTATGTGCACAGGCAGTGAAGAAATGAGCGGTGTGGGAAGGCTTTTGCGTCGGTTCTGTTTGTCTACAGTTAATGCTCAGAGTTGCAGAGTTGTGTTCATTCTTCAGAGCTCAACATGTAGGTCCTGGCTTCCCTAACGTACAGACCTTTTTACAAGTCCTTCATCTCTCTGACCCATAAGGATTGATTAGATTTTTTTTTCATTACTGCTTTGTAGTTGGCAGTGGAAAATACCCGTCGTACCTTTAAATCTCACCGAATTAAAGTTAGTTGATTTGCACAGGTATAACATACTCTGGTATCAAAGCACTCCCTTGTCATTGGAGTGTAGGTTCTTTCTCTTTTTCCTTTTCTTCTGTTACAATATTTCTGAAAGCTGACACAGACGCTGTCAAAAGGATTCAAGGCAAAAAGGTATAATTTGTTTGGATGTAATGAATAATTATACAGACAAAAGTGGTACAACCACACTGAGAGATTTGCTCAGGAGAAGAGATGTCAGCTTGTTTTGTGGACTCTACTGTGTGTGCGTGGCAGTGTGCTTCATTTTGAGAAGGCTGGCTCTGATAAAAATTGGGTAACCAAGAGAGATATTTAGGACATCAATACGTTAGCTTCAAAGAGTACATCTCAGGCTATCAGCACACCTCCTGGTCAGTTATTAATCTGCAGAAACAGGTTTATTGATGCTCAGGGGAAGCATGTTATGAGGTAGCTTTCTTCAGATGCTGGGTGGAAGGCTGAAGTGCAGTGCAGCCAGTACGTGCATGTATCAGTAGAAAATGGTAAACAAAAGAAAACCAAAAGAGTGATTCCAGAAGTTTATGACTGAGTAACTTTTATTTTCTGGTTCATTTTGAAAGACTCTTGGAGTTTTGTCATGGAAGCCTGACTCTGGTCTGGCTTGCGTTGCTCATATAGTCTCACTGAAGTCAACTGTGGAGAGAGCAAAGGCTTTTATTGATAGATGGCAGCAGTGTTGGCAAATGATCATTTCTGTGTCCTAGGTCTGTCCACCTGGTCCCAGCATTCCAGATCTCGACATCGGAGGACTTCCTGCTCCAGACATGAAGATCGAAAACCTTCTGAGGTATTTCTGGAATTTGACTTGCATTTTGTTACATCTGTCAAGTACAAAGCTGTATATGTGTTCTGATAATGGAACCATTTCTTCTGGTTTACATTTTATTTTCGCTACATTTTATCTGTCACGTGCCCCCCCCATTTTTTTTTTTTCCCCCAGGAGATTAGGGAGTTCAGCTGTTGGCACAGCCACTGCCAGCACCAGTTCCTATCCGTGAGTTTGTTATACTCTGACACCCGTTCAACATAGCTGCAGAGTCTTTCCTCTAACATTTTAGGCATTGGGGTTTATTTCTAGCTTGATCTGTGAAAATTTACATTAGGTGCATTTATTTCATAGTTGGTATTGGGTCTTGGTATGTGATCTTTGTTAAAGTGCTTGTCAAAGTAGAAATCTGCTTCCTGACAGTTCTGTCTTGCATAGTGCTTTGAGGAAATCCTGTCAAAGGAGATACAAATCTTTGAACTTTCCAGGATGGATCAACTGTTAGTAACACATAAATGCAATCTAGTTCTTTGGAAATACGTGTGCTGAATCTCCCTATCTTCAGGCAAATACTAGGCTGCAGACTTTGTAGAGGCTGCAAAGCAAGCATTAGCTTTGGGAGATGGAATTTCTTCATTTAACGTATTTGCCCAGTAAATATATTTCTGATGCACTAGTGAGTGATTTGATGTTGAGAAAAAACATGCTTTATTAATGACGGTATACAGAAGTACCAGAGAAGAGTTTTCACAAGAAGAATCCCATGCATTGTTCAGTGTGAACTACACCTAGTATGGATGGTTTCCAGTCTTCTTTTTTGATTGTTGGCTGTTAAAGACCTTTTTTTTTTTTTTTTTTGTTTTTTTTTTT